AAAGAAGGGTCTAATTTGAACAATTGAATTAAAGGATGAAATGGGTGGGTTAGTGGGTCAGGGTCAGAGTGAGTTGTGGCCTTCTTTAACCCATAGACATGGGTGACAAATGGGCTAATGGGTCAATATGGATGGATTGGTAGTTGGTACACCCAACCCATCCATTTGCCATGCATCATAGATATCGACACAATTAACCACCACTCACCAAGCACAAGCAGCCCCATGATAACTTGCAAAGTAAAGATTGTTCGCCGTGCTTTGTCTTGTGCAAATTGTTCAGTGTTCACACAGAGACCGTTCAATCGAATGACGAAATAATGAAACACATTGATGTAATTACAGCTGAATAGCTGATGAAGGGTTGAAAAAAAGAGAGTTCAGTGAACTCCACAAGATATTTATTTGATATTTTAACAATTCGGTGCCTTACACAGCCACTAGAGGTGATCAATAAAAACCGAAAACTCAAATTCTGATTAATCAAATCGATCGGTTTGATATTTTCGAAAAATCAAAAGTATTTGTTTGGTTTCAATTAATCAATATAAAAAATTGATGGTTAACGGAACCAACTGGTATATATAGTATATATTTTTATATTATTTATATATCATAAATGAATATATATACATTATATATAAATATATAATATATAGTATATTATTTATTATTTATAATATAATATTTTATATATTTCTAGTTTTTTATTATATATTTATATATTTATTTATAATATATATTATAAAAATAAAAAACGAAAATCGTCGAACCAAACTGATCAACTGATTAACCGTTCAGCTTCGGTTGGGTTTCGATTGCTAGTTATCCTAAAACCAATACTACCATTTCAGTTTGGAAAATAGGCCACTGATTTGTGAGCATCCCTAACAGTGTAAAAATTAAAAAAGAGAAGGCAGAGTACGAAGGTTCATTGCAAGTATTTGGGAGTTTATTGCAAAAGGGCAGAACCTCATTGCAAGGTTTCTTGAATTAAAATGAGTGAACGAATGAGATATAAATACAATTCGTGTCAGTGTAACCGACTTGTAACTAAGTTGCACAAGTGGTAGGTGACACGTGGTTAGCCAACTGTCATACAACTAATTATTTATTCTAACACCCTCCCCCCAAGTTGAGCATGAGAAGACATAATGCCCAACTTGAAAATGAGGTTTTGAAATGATGATACCCCGAGAGCTTTAGTCAGTAGATCTGCTGGCTAATTGTTGCTGCTGATGTGGAATGTTTTGATCCCGTTGCTCTAAATCCGCTCTCAAATAAAATGGCAATCAATATTAATGTGCTTTGTGTGTTCATGGAAAACCGAATTGGCAGTGATATGGAGAGCAGCTTGACTATCACAGTATAATTCCATTGGTGTTGCGATGTGAATTTTTAAATCCGCAAAGACCCGTTTAGGCCAAATGAGTTCTGAGGTTGTAACTGTCATAGCTCGATACTCGACTTCTACAGAGGATCGTGACATAGTGTGTTGCTTCTTGGTATTCCAAGAGATTGGAGATTGCCCAAGCATCATGATATAACCTGTTGTGGAGCATCAGGTAAGTGGACAACTAGCCCAGTCGGAGTCACAGAAGCCCTGGACCACAAAGTCATTAGTGGATGGGATAAAGATGCCATGATGAGGAGTGGACTTGAGATATCTGACCACCTATAAAGCAGCCTGGTGGTGCTCTTCTCGTGGATCTTGCATGAATTGACTAAGTTGATTAACTGTAAAACTGATACCATGCCTTGTGGTCGTAAGGTACAAGAGGCGCCCCACCAAACGCTTGTATTGGGCTGGATTTGAAAGAGCTGGACTGACATCATTATTGAAGTGTCGTTGCTATTCCATAGGAGTTGAACATGGTTTGCATTCGTGCATCCCAGTTTCGTTCAAAATGTCAATGATGTGTTTATGCTGACTTAAGAAGATGCATGAGTTTGAACAAGCCACCTCAATGCCCAAAAAATATGTCAAGGGTCCAAGATCTTTGATGCTGAAGTACTCATTGAGGTAAGATTTAAGGGAGACAATATGGCTTGGATCATTTCCTGTGATGATGATGTCATCTACATACACAAGGACTACAACAAAGGAGTTGTCTTGTTTGCTTGTAAAAAGTGATTCGCTTGCCACTAATTGGGTAAAACCGACATGTAAGAGCGTGTGAGTGAAGTTTTGGAACTACATCCGTGAAGCTTGTTTGAGGCTATAAAATGATTTTTGGAGTTTGCAAACGCGTTGATCACCATCTTTGGAAAATCCAAGAGGGATATGCATTTAAACATCTTCTTGGAGCTCACCATGGAAAAAAACATTGTTTACATCAAGCTGGTGAAGTTCCCAACATTTGGCAACAGCCACTATGAGTAGGAAACGAACAGTAACAATCTTTGCTACAGGTGCAAAGTTGTCATGGTAGTTAAGGCCTTCGACTCGATTGTAACCTTTTGCCACCAAATGAGCCTTATATCTGTCAATACTACCATCAGCTCTCAACTTAATTTTGTAGACCCATTTTAAACCTATGGCCTTCTTTCCGAGTGGCAAGTCTACAAGTGTGCATGTGTTATTCCACTCGAGTGCTTCAATTTCGGCTATCATTGCCTGTCGCCACTTAGGATCATTAACAACCTCAACAAAAGAAGATGGTTCTATTTCTGAGGAAATCGTAGCTAGACAAGCACCCGAGCTAGTAACCGCATTAGCAAGAGAAGGTGGAAGTTAGTAGTCATATGAGCGCAAACGGGTGGAGACTTGTCGAGGCCTACGTGGTCATGAGCCAAGCTGGGTTGGAACTTGGTTATTTTCTTCAATAGCAGTTTTCAGGTGAGCTTGTATTAGATGGTATATCATCAAAAGGCAAATGTCTGGATGGTTCCGTGCGTATTTCTAGGCTGCTAGCAAGTGTACTTGTGATTGGAGGTGGCGTATGACAAACAACTTCAGATTTAATTCAAAAGATAAGTTTAAGTACATCTCGTATGATCATCAACAATGGTAAGAAAGTAATGTGCGCCCGTATGTGATGGAGTCTTGTACCCTCCCCATAAATCACAATGTATCAAGTTAAAGGGTTGAGCAGCCCGAGACTGTTGAATAGGAAATGGTTTCTTGGACTGTTTGGCCCTGTGGCATGCATCGCAACAGCTGTTTTGAGGAAGGGTCGGAATTTCTGGAATGAGATAAAGGCGCTATGATGAGGCATGCCCAAGTCGTCTATGCCAAAGTTCTTGGCCTTTATTCGAAGTTGCAGTAAACACAACAGAATTATCTACAAATCCAGTAGTGGTAAAGTAATACAGTCCATCAATGAGCTTACCCATCCCAATCATGGTCTGAGAGACAAGGTCCTGGAGAACACAGAATGAAGGGAAAAAGAGAACAACGCATTGCAACTCCTATGTAAGTTTGCTAACAAAGAGTAAGTTGCTGTGGAATTTTGGGACATGTAAAACATGATTAATGATCAAGTTCGGTCCAAGATATACAGTTTCGTAATGGGATGCAGTTGTAACATCCCATTTGGAAGATGAATTGGTTTGGAAGAATGCAGCTAAGTGCGATTGGATGACAATGATGCAGTGGAAACCATATGGTCGAAGGCACCACTATCTAGAATTCGTCCAACGGAAATAGTGGAGTGCTTACCAGAAAGATTCACGTGTAGCTGATTCATGGTTCTCTCTGCTCAAAAGGCTCATCAACTAGTTATATTGCTGAATGGTCAGACCAACGATAGATGATTCATCATCATTGGTGTCTGCATTAGCACATGAACTCTGTTGTGGAATCTTTCTGGGCTTTATAGAGCGATTTGGCCCGCCCTTCTCACATCCAATAGGGTAACCTACAAGCTTGTAACATCGCTCCCTCATGTGTCCAGTTTTTTTGCTTAAAAGAGAGATTGACATCTGGTGGCGTTCTTCTTGGATTACAAGAAAATACGCCATGTTCAAATTCAGTAATGGATCCGATCCCAGAATGTTCGATCGAATGATGTTGAAATATTCATTTAAACCCATCAAGAATTGGTGGAGTTTTTCTTTCTCACGATCAGCAATGAAATGTTTCAAGGCTCTACAGGTGCACTAAGGGAGATCGGTGAGGCTTGTGAGTTCATCCCACAACCCTTTAAGTTTTGTGAAATATCCTGCTACGGTTAGGTCTCCTTGTTGTAGCACTACCAAGTCCCGTTTTAGCTGATGGAACCGTGGGACATTGCTCTGTGCAAATCTTTCTTCTAAATCTTTCTAGATCTCAGAGGCCAAGTCAATGAAGGCTACACTTTTGTGGAGTTCTTTGGACAGAGAGTTGAAGTGTTGAACAACCAAGAAACCACCATTGAATTACCTTTAACCCAAGCATTCTCCTTTGATGATCTTGGTGGTCGTGGTAAAGATCTGTCCACAAACTGGTATTTATTCTCGGCTCTCAGTGCATTCAGCATGGCACGTTGCCATGTCGGATAATTGTCTCCAGTCAAAGGAAAGGATACAAGAATGCTCCCTGGGTTATCAGATGGGTGTAGGTAGCAAGGAGAAGTTGGATCAGATTCCATGGCCGTCACGGTTGGAAACAACGGCGGGTGCAACAGCAAGAAGAAAAAACTCAGTGATGAGAGACCAAAGAGAATGGAGGAGTGATAGATGACACGTGGTTAGCCATTTGTCCTACAACTAATTATTTATTCTAACAGCCACCATAAAACACTACTAATCCAGACACACAATGACAGGTCACACCCGCCCAGACCATAGGTTGGTACATTCATTTGTAGAGATTGTTGTCAAAAAATACCTTTACTTATTGATCATTCTACCAAAGAAATGGAAAGACAGTAACCATATACAATTTACAGATACAATGCAAAAGAAGTAAAGAACAATTCATCCAAGCACCTGGATTTGCAGATTAAAAGGCATGCTGTACAAAAACGGAAAACTAACCCTACTAAATCATCTGGTGAACAAGAAAAATTCGGAGTTTACCATTTCTTTTTTTCCTTCGAAAAACAATGCTTCACGACAGCTCCCTCCAGTGCATGTGCAATCTTCATCATCTTTCTGCTTTTAATCTACCCAAACCACCAGAACCCTCACAATTAAGGTCTAGAAATCAAAGATATCACAAGGGAAAATGAGTCGTATGTTTTGTGTTACGGCAGTCTCCTTAAATTTGATTTGTCACAAATAACCAAGAGAAGTGTTGGAATAGACACGTTCTCTCATAGAAATGCCATTGACCAAATATAAACACAGAAACCCCTTGTGCCTCCAATAGTCCTTTCCTGGTAAACTTCCATTTCAAACAGTTGAAGAATTCTCCCAATTGCTGGTCTTACTTGCTATGCATTAACAGTATGATTGAATGCCGTTTCCTGCATCACAACAGAAGCACAGCCTTTTCAGATGGACAAGGATAAAAAACTGACAGGGCATATCCCTGTATACAATCATGTTACAGCATCACATTATCATCATCCATTTCTTGGATTTTGTCCTTCATATTCTGCAGGGAGGAAACATTAAATAGTTTGTTGGTGACTATTTGAGTCCCAATACAGTAGAATAATACTATATTATCTATGTAACTTAATTTCCTGAAATTCGCTATACCTTCAATTGATCCAAAACAACAAAAAAATCATTACATCTTTAAGACGTGGGGAAACATCTTCCGCTTCAATTGATGAAATGATAGCTTCACTAAACACTGAGGTGTCAATCTTGTTGAAACTACCTTCTTGAGTGGATGGTGGAGTTTGTGAACGTCCCAAATCAACATCATATGGCAGAACTGCAGGAGGTGCATAAGTTTTAAATTTCACTTGTAATAACAACACCTATATGTATCTAATTATATATGCAGAAAATAATACATTCATAAATACATAATATTATGGATGCCCCCACACACAAATATAGGTGTAATTGAAAAAAGCTAAACTTAAAAATAAGAAAGAAACATATATTATAATATTTGTAACCCATGACCCACTGACTGGGTTAAGAAGGTCAATGGTCAACACTAAACAGCTAGGGGTTATCATTCTTAGCCCGGCCCAGCCCGCAATATATTATATTTCAGATATACATATATGTAATATACATAGCAAATACATAATATATTTATATTATAAAATGCTATATTATATATTGCATATAAAAAAGTATATATACTTACTGACCCCTTTCATTAATTGGAGTGGACGGAGAGTGGTAATTCTCAAATCGGCCCAGTCTCTTTACAACCTTCTCCATCAGAAAAGATGATAAATTAATTAATTAAAACATGAGAAAAGGAGAGAGGGGTTTTCTTGGTAATGAAGGTCCGAAGAGAGAGAGAGACATCTTTTATTTAGTGCCTTCAATCTCCCTTCTTCCCGCCTTTTCTTTCCTTGCCCTGTTTTTTTGCAACCATAACAGAGGGGGGCAAACCAGCTCACCACCAATCTCTCCCTCCTCTTTTCCCTATATTCTTCCTTTTCTTTCTCACTCTTCTCTTCTTCCTTCTCTTTTCTTCTTTTTTTTTTTCTTTCTCTACTGCTACAACCAAACTGGTTGCAGTCACCATTTGACCACCCTCCCTCACCAGCTCTGCCTCCTCCCTTCTTCTTTTCTTCTTCCCCTCCTCTCCTTCTTCCTCCATTTTCTCTATTGACTTAAGTATAAAACACCATCCAGTCACCCCTTGCTCCTCTTCCTTCTCCTCCCTTCTTTTTCTTTTCTTCCTTCCTTTCTCCCTCCTTTTTCCCCTTTCTTCTCTGCCAATCAGACATAACAGAGAAGGTAGCCAAACATTGAACAGTCTGTCAGCCACTCATCTTTTACCTATCTATTCTCTCCCCCTTTCTTTCTTCCTCTTCTCTTATTATTTTACACTTTACTAATAAAAGTATAACTTTCTAATGGAGGAGGAATGGTAATTCAGGAATTTACCACTTCACCATCAAACAAGAATTACAACCACTCCATGCTTCAGACATTTAAGTCCTTTGTCCTTCCTTCCCTCTCTTTATCCTGTTTAGCTCACCATCTTTCTAGTCCTCAATCACACTCATCCTCATCAAACCAAGCTTCAACGGGAAATTAGGAGTCTTAGTCAGACCCGGTTTCATCCCTTGTCTCACACCATAGTCACAGTATCAATTAGACCATTTGAAGTCTATATTTGAGAAGGCTTCCCTCCTAAAAGTCGACCAAACAATATTTTTCATTTCCATTCATAGTTTTAAAGGCAGCAAGGAGAGGCTGGGCGATAGGGGGCGCCTAGGTTGAACCCTCAAGGAAATGTGATAATGGAACCTAGGGAACTACCCTAGGATAGAAAATCAACATATTCATAAGAAAAAGAAGAAACAAAAGAAAATTCAAAAAATATAGGGGCTGAACCCCTATTTTGCTTGGTGATTAGGCGAGGCAAGCCTCCAAAGCACAGGGGTCAATAAGTATAGTTTACCCCAAACCTCAGGGGAGGTATAAGTAATATACCCTATGGAAATTACAAAGACCCCCTTAAACTATGGGGTCAATGACAATTACCATCCTGAACTTCCATCTGCTCACTGTACAAGCTTCTGTACAAATGAACACCCTTTCAACCTGAAGCTGCTTTTGATAAAAAATCCTCCTATTTCTTTCCCTCCATATTGACAACAGAACTGCAAAAGGAATTTCTTTCCACAAGATCCTACCTTTTTCTGCTCTGCCTACCACAGAGCTAGGCAAGCAAATACAAGTTACATCTGACAGCACTAAACCTTTTCTTCTCAACATAACCTTCGTCAAGCACTTTTCTTCAGCAGCCACCCAAACAAAAAACTTCACTATAGAGGGTGCCAAACCACCCCAAACTAATTGACTGGGGAAAGCGCCTAGGGTGGCAGGCTCCAAACCAGAATAAAAGGATTTCACTGAAAAGGACTGACTTTGACCAATCCCAACAGCGCTGATCCGGAGCCAATGGATTTAACTTAAAGCCCTGTAGCCTTAAAAGAAAATCTGTTACCTGCAGAATCTCCAATCATTAAACTCCCTTTTGAAAGAGGGAACCCAAACTGAAGAATCCCCTGAACCAACAAAGCATTCAACCACCATAGCTTCTTTATCAGATGCCAGAAGAAATAAATCTGGAAACATCTCTTTCAAAGGGATGTCAGAACACCAAGAATCAGTCCAGAATTTCAGCCTGGAACCATTTCCTACCTTGTATTTAATTCCTTTAAGAAACCGGGGATAAGCTTTATAGATCCCTTTCCAGAAACTCAGCCGGATCCCAACCATTAACATGAAAGCCATACTTCTGCACTATAACTAGCCTCCAAAGCTCGTTGGACTCCTTGAGGAACCACCTTCTTATTTTAGATTGTTTCGTTTGGAGAAAATGGAGGTATTTGGGATTAATTAGGGTTTAAGAGAAAAGTGCAAGGAAAATAAAACAAGAAAAGGTTCATGTGGGCATTTTGGTAATTCAGCGCACTCTGTCATCTGACTTAAACTCATGTAGGAGAGAAAAACTCAACCTTCATCTATATAAGGAGACAAGCATATGTTGAACCCCATACCTTGGGGTACAGAGTGGGGGTTTTTGACATTTTCAATGTTTATAGCTCTGCAGTGGAATTCAGAAATCAACATTGGGCCTGTCCGTACTTAGACCGGGCTTGGGCTACAACCTTAACATGGGTGCTAATCCCAGCTTGGTGGCCCAGCCCATGATCACCCCCCATCAATCACCTGTGTCAGCAAGTCACTAACCAAGAAAAAGATTTTTTTAAGCAATGCAGATTTAGGGTTTACCTGAACTAAAGTCATGACCTAATGACAGGTCAAACAATCCAATTGTTCAAGTCAACAATGGATTGAAAAGACTTGGTTCAGTCATTAGGAGTTATTCATCTGCTCATTATTCAGTTTAGTCTGAAGTCCCATAATCATAAGTTCAATAGACAAGAAATTCTAGGTGTATGTCTTACTTTTGGGGTCCATTGGCATGGGCATCTTCATATTTATCATTAACAATGTGCAATACTAACTTGATCACCTATAAATTGTTATTTTGTAAGAGTAATTCTGAGATTTCTGAAAGTGGTTCTTAAAGGAACCCTAGAGAGATTTTAGGGTTCTATCTTCTTTTCATCTTGTTCCATAAATTGGTGTTGCTATTACATTGATTGTTAAAGTTCAGGATAACTGAACTAATGGAAAATACATGGAGTAGGGTAAAAATTAGAAGAAAAAGCATGGGATTGTAGTTTTAGAATTAAAGGATTAGGGGCCCTATAGGTTTGGAGCCAAAGAAAAGTAAGTGTAGACTCACCATTCACCTCTCTTCTTTAGTTAGAATTAGAGTTTTACCTAATTATATGCCAAGGGATCTCTTTCAAAAACAGAATACCTATAGCTAAAGAAAACACTGTCAAGATTTCTAGCTTTTGTCTTACATGGTAAAAGTTTCAAAATCAGTTAAAGGAGCAATAAAAATAAAATAAATAAATAATACTCCTAGAACAAGATAAAGATTTCCATCACAGACCCATACACTGTTGTGTTGTTTATAATGGCTGATGGGAGCATAAACCACCCCATTTGAACAGCCACGTGGATGCTGATGTGGATGACATCTGGTCGAGCTGCTCAACAAGGCCAATATGGAGAACGACGGCGTGGCACACTATCATTCACCTTGGAGGATGAATGGTGCACGCCACGGACCTCGGATGGTGTTGAAAGGACTTATTTGTGCCTGAAAAGGTCAAACCTTATTGGGCTTACAGGTGTGAAATTTAAATCTTCTATCAGTCCAAGAAAGGCGAATTCAAAATTCTCATGGAGAAACAATTTTCTCCTAAGATCACAATCTAGGGTTAAATGATCAAATTTGATGTCCAAAATGAACTAGAATCGTACCTGATATGGATACCACAAATTGCAACTCCCTGAGTGGTAGTTCATGCCCAAACTCGGGTCCAAATTGAGTCAAAGCAGAAGATGGCACAGCCCCAATTCCATAACTCGATGTAGAAATTTGGTGTGGATCAATGTGCACTCAAATATCCTACTTTGTTTGCAGCTGTTAATGACTTGAATATTCCGTGTTTTTGCTGAAAAAAAAAAAAACTCAAAGATAAAAGAGAGAAAAGTCTCCCCTTTCAGCCTAGATGGAACTAGGGTTTGGAGGTATGAGAATAGGTGATTATCTCTTTCAAGATTCTCTCCTACTCTATCTTATATAGAGTTGGAAAGTCATAGTCCTACTACGAGTTTCCAATCTTATTTCTAACTTAATTACAAGTTCTATACTTTGGAAACCATCCTAATCTTATTAGAAATAAGAAAGATCCAAGCCCATACTTAATTCGACCCATATAATTCAATTATCCAATTGTCTAGTCAAACTAGTCACACTAGTCTTTAATGTGAATTGGACCATTCACTCAAGTCATTTAAATCACATGTTTAGCTAGCCCATTAAACCTGAATATTGTATGGTGTGGGACTTACTAAGTCCTCACACTAATCCATATATATGGGTTTGGCCCATGTAGAGAACCACATGGAGCAAACTCACTAGACACATCTAGTGAACCTCTTGCCCAATCTAATTGGGCTTAGAATAGGCCCAACACTTAAACATAAGTGGACTTTGGTTTCAGCCAACTTATGAAGCCTAAAGCCAATGAATTAATATGAGAAATTCCATCATATTTCAGCCCAAAAGACTTTTGCTCTTAACCTCTCAGCCTATAATATCTATACATTACTCACAGAGAAGGACCTCTTCCTTGACTGTGAAATGCAATGTCACATCCTCTGCTCAAATAGATCCCGGGATTAAAACCTTTTGCAAACCTTTTTCATAAAATAAACTATTTATAAATTACACATTTTGCAAATTGATTTCAAAACACATTGAAATCCATTGTCGACAGTTTTAGGTTTTCATCAAACAATATAAACTAGGATATTCTCTTTGTTTGACAAAGTGGTTGATCCTATAACAATGATCTATTTGACCCTTAGAGCATTTCACTAGTTGGTACATCAAAAGTAGTCCAATCCAATACTCTTATATGCAGTACCATTATCAAGTCTTGAGTTAAGTTTCAACTATCCAGTTTTGCCCATTTATCTCCAAGGTCTAGGGCATAACTGGTTCAGTTTTGCCCACTTTTCAGTGTTTCAAGAAAACACCCATTGATTATACTTTAGATGATGCAATAGGACTGAAACAAACTATGACAAGACAGAAAGAGAGAGAGAGAGAGAGAGAGGGAGAGAGAGCGAGAGAAAGGGTACCATACAGCAAACTTGCAAGAGAGCTCTAAAGAAATCTTCATTATCTTCAAAAGGAAGAGAATACATCTATTTATAGAGTGACTTGTGTGACCCAAAATACTGTTCACCATAATTACAAAAAAGCCACTCCTTGTCTTGTGCATCGAGAAACATAATAACTTTCTACCTACTAATGCAAATAAACTAAAAATTGAAAGAGAAGCACTACTAAGCTAGAGGAACAAGATGCTTGATGTAATCTTAGTTATGTGCCACAAGGGCACTTTTGTCTTTTTATGTTTTTATTTTTTATTGATGCCCTAACATATAAATACAAAGACTGGTGCCACCAGCCATACGTTTTGGTCTCAATCGTCTCTTCTCTCTTCTTCTTTCTTCTTTCTTTCTTCTTCTTTTTTTCTTCTTCTCTGGACTGTAACTTTCAAAAGTCAATCGAATTGATCAGGAACCTAGACTCAAGTGCTTTTTTCATTGGTTCTTGGTATTGTTAGCAAGAACATCCTAAAATCTGCCCTAGCCGAATGGTGTAGGCTTGTTTAATAACTTCCTGTGGGTCGGTGATCCAAAACTGTGTGGGTGAAGAACCTATGTAGGTCATGTGTGACCTGGTTCAGATGGAGAAATACATCAGCAGAATTGTAGATGTTATGTGTGGCTTAAACTAGCCCTTGTGAGGTCAGTTAGACCTGTAAATCTGTGATAGCAGGTGTTGTGTTACTGTGACTGCAATTTGTTTTTAAACCTTACAGTGAGGGTTGTGTGTTTGTGAGTGTGTGGACTGCGGGGGAAGGGTTGTATGTCTAAAACTTCTGATAGCAGCCTTTGTTATGGCCTCTGAAGACTCTGCAACCTCTGGAACTTCTTTCAACCAAGGAGGAATGAACAGCAGTCTTGACTCTATGAGCTTTCCAACAATCATTATTCCCTTAGATGGCAGAAATTATTTGACATGGTCTAAGGAGATGCAGCTGTACATCATAGCCCGAGGTAAGGCAGGGTATATCAATGGAAAAGTGAAGGAACCTAGGACTGGTACTGCTGAATATGATAAGTAGGACCAAGAAAACTACATGATTATGTCATGGCTTTTGACTACTATGCTACCATCAGTTGAGCAGAACTTTATGTGGGCTGAGACAGCCAAGGAAATAAGGGAACAAGCAAGGTCAACTTACTCTGAGCAGAGACACTATGCTAGAATCTATCAATTGCAAGCCGAGTCTGCAACATGTAAACAAGGGGAAAGAAACTTATCCACCTACTATTCTGCCCTCACATCCATCTGGAAAGAGTTAGATTACTATCAGAACATTGATTGGGAGAGTGAAAAGGATGTCAAAACCTACAAACAGTTAGTGTCATAGCAGCGGGTGTTTGCTTTTTTGTTAGGGCTAGAAGGAAGACAAACTTTTGAAATAAATAGACTGTTTAAAATAGTTCAGAAAAGTGATAGAAAACAGCAGAAACAGAGTATCAAGAAGAGAGAAGAGGAAGAAGAAGGTGGCGGCAATAAGGGTTCAAAGAGAGATTTTCAAAATCTAATCCTCTCTTACACCCTAATCCCTTTTCATGAACTTAATTTCAGTAATTACAAAGAGGCCCTTAACTGGGCGAATAATTTAAAATAGACATAACATAAGTAAGGCCCATGTTGAGGCCCATTACAGCAAAGAACATTAAGAAGAAAAAATAAGAAAACAGTTTATGGGCCATTCGGCCCATCTTCTCTACACTCCCCCTCAAGCTGAGCATAGATGTCAATCATGCCAAGCTTGCCAATATCATGCTGAAGTTTGGCCTTGGGGATGCCCTTGGTAAGGAAATCAACTAACTGTCCTTCAGAAGAGATAAATGGTAGACAAACTTCTCCAGAAGCCACTCTTTCTCGGATAAAATGTCTGTCGACTTCAATATGTTTGGTCCTGTCAAGTTGCACCGGTTTGTGAGCAATTTTGATGGCAGTCTGATTATCACAATATAACATTAATGGCTTATCATACTCAATACCCAATTCCTCCATCAAGGATCGAAGTCAAAGCAGCTCAAAAACTCCATGAGCCATGGCTCTGTATTCAACTTCAGCTGAAAATCTGGCAACAACTGATTGTTTCTTGCTTCTCCAAGAAACAATATTACCTACCACCAAGCTACAGTACTCAGAAGTTGACCTTCTATCATCAATGTTTCCGGCCCAATCAGCATCTGTGTAAGCCTCCAGTTTCATATGACCATGCTTAGCAAATAGAATTCCCTTTCCAAGAGAACCCTTTAAATAACACAGAATTCGTTTTGCTACTGCCATGTGAGTGTCCCTAGGAGCATGCATGAACTGACTAGTGCAGCTAACAGCATATGCAATGTCTGGCCGAATCATGCACAGATAAAGCAGCTTCCCAAGTAACCTCTGGAAGACTCCCTTATCTTCAACAATACTCCCTCTGAGGCAGAAAGTTTGACTCATATCAATAGGAGGAGCAACTGGTCTAGCACCTACCTTCCCTATTTCAGTGAGCAAGTCAAGCACATACTTTCGTTGAGAGATAAGGATCCCATCCTTAGACTGAGCAAGTTCTATGCTAAGAAAATACCTCAATTTGCTCAGATCTTTGATCTCAAACTCTGTATGAAGGAAAGATTTAAGATCATTAATCCCTGTTACATCATTACCAATCACAATTATATCATCAACATAGACAATAAGATATTTAACAAGGGCAGCCCTAAACCTTTCAAACCATGCCCTAGGTGACTGTTTACGTCCATAAAGAGATTTCTTCAACTTGCATACTTTTCCCTCCATATCTGTGTCATACATCCCCGGAGGAAGAGACATATAGACCTCCTCATGTAACTCTCCATTCAGGAATGCATTTTCACATCCAGCTGGTAAAGTGGCCAATATGAATGTGCAGCCAGAGATAACAGAACCCTCATAGAGGTCATCTTTGCAACAAGAGCAAAGGTCTCCAGATAGTCAATCCCATATGTCTATGTATAACCTTTTGTAACCAGCCTAGCTTTGTACCTTTCAATTGTGCCATCAGCATGATATTTGATGGTGAAAAACCACTTACAGCCCACTAGTTCCTTCCCTTCATGCAAATCAACCACTTCCCAAGTGTCATTCTTATGCAGGGCATCAATTTCCGTTCTCATAGAATCCCTCCATTCGAGAATAGTAAGAGCTTCTGACACTGACCTGGGTATTGGGTTAGAAGCAACAAAAAAAAGATAGCCAAAATATGAAGGAGAGAGCAAATTATAAGAAAGGTGTTTTGGAAATGCAATGTGCAGCACACTTCCTTTTACCTTTCCTGATAACAATAGGGGTATCAAGGTCTAGGAAGGATGGCTCCAAAGGGATTGTATCAGTACTTGTTGTTTCTTCTATGACTGGAAGTGTAGGAGGCTCATGTGGTGTAGAGGAAATAATCTGCCCACTTCTAGTTCTCTGCCGCTAGTACAACCTAGGATTAAAAAGAGGACGAGGAGGTAACGAAGGAGGAATAGGAACATTGGAAGGAGAATAAGATGACTGTTCCTCCCTTAACTCATTTGAAGTAGAAGGAGGCTCAAAAGAATACTCAACTGGGACAGGAAGAGGGAGAGCAAACAACTGTGACAAATCCTCCCCCTTTGGACAATGCTTCTCCAGAGAAGGATCATAGAAAGAAGAAGACTCATACTCATCAAAGGTGACATCCATTGAGACAAACCAAGTTCCAAACTTTGGATCAAAAACCAAGGAAAATGCACTTGTGGGCCTTTGGTTTAAATTTATGTCTCTGGGTACTTGGAATGTATA